AGGCTTTTGGAAATCGAAAATGGATGGCTGACGAGCCGAGGACGGGGGAACAGGCGGCACATTCGTTGAAGTGTCCACTTGCTGAAAATCAAAAATCGATGCCTGACGAGCCGAGGCTGGTGCAGGGATGTCAGGCTTTTGGAAATCGAAAATGGATGGCTGACGAGCCGAGGACGGGGGAACAGGCGGCACATTCGTTGAAGTGTCCACTTGCTGAAAATCAAAAATGGATGCCTGACGAGCCGAGGCTGGTGGAGATCTGCCAGGCTTCTGGAAATCGAAAATCGATGGCTGATGAGCCGAGGACGGGGAAACAGGCGGCACATTCGTTGAAGTGCCCACGTGCTGAAAATCGAACATTGATGCTTGATGAGCCGAGGTCGGGGCAAAAGCTGAAGTACCGACTTTCTTAAACTCGAAAATGGATTGGTGAGCCGAGGCTGGGGTGAATGGGTTGGAACTTAGAGCAGGGGTAGGTTCTTTGAAATCGAAAATGGATCTGTGAGGAGCCGAGGATGGGACATCCACTTCCATCACTAGTTCGGATTCTTGGCTCTGTCCTATCGGCCACCCAGAATTTAGGTTTGGCTAGTTTTCTGTCACTGACTGGAACTCACCACTTGGTTGAAGAGGGGGTAGAGCCTCGGCCGTTCCTAAGATATGGTTAGAACTGCTCAGCCGACAAGAGTACATAAAACTTACCATCCTTCATTTCTTGGTCTTTCATCACAGCTTCTGTTTATCTACATTAAGTAGACAATCCTTGGTGTGGAGTAGGGACAATACCTGGATTTGTTAAAGACATATCAGTCAGAGAGTAGATAGCTTTTCCTGGGATTGCACTGTGTGGTTGGTGATGAAGACGCATTGTTTTTCAACGGTGGGAAAGCAAGCCACTGCAGATCGGCCATGGAACATTCTGCGGATCTCGGTTGAACATTGTACGGATCTCGGTTGAAGTAACGCCACCACGTGACCGCGTTTACAACTTTGTAATTTCACATTCACCATTGTCCCATTCCGACGCGCACATTCACCACCCTTGATCGTCCCATTCCCACTTACCATGTCCACTGCTGAACTTGCTCAAGCTGCTCAACAGGCCCATACCCTCACTCCCGGGTTCTTGGAGGATGTTAGGGTGGCCACCTCCACACTTTTGAACTTTTACAACCGTCACAG